CCATGGTGACTTCTTCCCATGGGATCAGAGCTTGGAACGGGACCAGGGCCTCTGCCAGGTGTGCCGTGAAACCATCTTGGCCCTGGAGCCCCTCTATCTATCCTCAATGCCTGGCAAACTCCTTCTCATCTTCAGTCAGGTAGCCCTTCCTCTAGGAAGCCCTTCCTGATTGGATCAGGGTTTCCCTGGATCTCACAACTCTTGTGTTTCCTTGGGTCTCACCGCTGACCACAGTATGGAGGCTTCCTGGAGAGGGTGAGATCCAGGCAGAATTCAGAAATTAGAAGGAATTTGCAGCACAAAGGGGAGAAGGAAGGGCATTCTAGGGAAGGAGGCAACACAAAGAGAGCCTAGTGGCAGAGAGAAGAGAGGTCAGGGCTTCTCCTAGGGCAGAGGACATCCCCAACCTCCAGACAGCAAGTTAGCACGGATTGAGTTCCATCTGATGGGGGTGGGAGAAGGGTTTGCTGCCAACAGAAGCCTTCCCCCTCTCCCCTGAGGCAGCACAAAATCCCCAATAGCTCATCAGCTGGATCGTTTTTTCAAAACAAAACAGCCAAACCCAAACCTACAAAACATCTCAGACCTCAGGGCTAGGGCTGGAGGTGGGGAGACAGGTGTGATTCTGGGAAAAAGCCCATCCAGAGAAACTGGTCCCAGGACCCAACCCACTGCTCTCCAGTACCGTCTTCTGCAGATAGGTTTTTGGTCTTGAGCTCCTGGCTTCAAGAGATCCTCTTGCCTCAGCCTCCCAAAGTGCTGGATGACAGGTGTGAGCGGCTGCAGGTAGATTTTTGGGAGTGCTCAATTGGTATATTTTCCATTGGATGGCCTCATGACTCGAATGGGGAGATCCTGGCTGTCACCATCTCACTGTGCAGCTTTGGACAAGTCACTCCACCTCTTTGGGCCTCAGAGAAACCCCTAGTTTCTAACAGAACAGGCAGAGAATGTAGTCAGACCCAGGGCAGGAAAAACGTCTGTTACTGAGGCAGCTGCCAGTGGGGAGCTCAGGGAGGAGGTGCCAGGAAGGAGGCAGGACAGGAGGCATCGAGTAAAGAGGCAGGTGGGCCCAAGGCGCCCCTAAGCCTGCTCATCTCTGGGGAAACATTATTCAGCGGCTGAGGCTGGCACTCACTCGAAGCCTCAAAGAATCAATCATGCCATAATTAGGGTCACTATTAAATCTCTTTCCACGGTGATGCCAGGACCTCCTGTTTACCCAACACTTCTGTCCCGAGAGACCTCTGATTGCCCTTCCTCTTAGGAGGCAGCTGGCAGGGCCCGGAGGCCAAGGCAGACCAGCTTTTCCCTGGCAGGCTTGCCTTGGCCCACTTGGTATGTTTTCTAGTCCTTTCTTTCTTTCTTTTTTAGAGACAGGGTCTCACTCTGTTGCCCAAGTTGGAGTGCAGTGGTGCAATCTTAGCTCACTATACCCGCAACTCCTAGGTTCAAGCGATCCTCCTGCCTTAGCCTCCCTAGTATCTAGGACTACAGGCTGATGCCACCATAGCCAGTCAATTATTTTCTTTTTTTGTAGAGATGGGGGTCTCACTTTCTTGCCCAGGCTAGTCTTAAACTCCCTGCCTTAAGTGATCCTCCCGTCTTGGCCTCCCAAACTGCTAGGATTACAAGTATGAGCCACCACGCCTGGCTTCTCCAGGCTTTTCAACCCTCCTGGCTGCATCGCCACCCCCCAACCCCAATAGGAGGGCTCCCTGCTTCTCCCAGAGGGAAGGGCTGGCTTCTTCCTTGGAGCTGTGGCCTTGAGGTACAACTGGTCCCAAATCTCTGGCTCTTTAGCGAACTCAGTAAGCAACACCACATTGTGCCAGGCACAGCTGGGAGCTGAGAAGGATTCACAGACACTCAAATGTGGACCTTCCTTTCAAGGAGACAACCTAATTATAGCAACAGCAGCTGTGACAATCACGACCACATGCACAGTGCGCTACAGTTCACACAGAGCTTCTACATACATCATCCCCAGCTCCACGGTCAGGGTCAAGATTCCCATTTCACAGACAGGAAGCTGAGGCTGGGTGGGGGGCGGTGGGTCAGGGCTCACCCACGCACAAGCTGGGAACCAGCATCCTGACCAGGTGTCTGCTAAGCCCCTCCTTCAGGTAAGGCTCTGGGGGGGCGGGCAGACCCGTGTGTTTTGAGGCACATTTGGGGCCAGTCTGCATAGAAGCCAGGCTCAGGCACTTTCGCAGGGCTTTGGTTCTCTTGGCACAGAAAGGACCCTTCTTTCCCAGGTCAGGGCTGTGAGCTCAGGCTGAGGACTCACCAAGAGTGACCTGGCCTTGCCCAGAGAGCAGAACTTAGCATCTCAGAACTCAAAATCTCAGGCTGCGAATGCCCTGAACTGGGGCTCTGGAATCACCGCACCCAAGACTCACACAAGCATGGAATCCTGCAACCATCCAACAGGAGATCTTACAACGATCTCCATTTCGTAAAACAAAGGCCTGGAGGCCTCCCATCCAGCCTCCCTTCCCAGGCAGAAATCCCCAGACAGCTCCTACTGGTGGTTCCCGGCTTCTCCAGACCCACGCATGGCTTCCACAGGCCTGCATGCTCCCAGGGCCAGCCCTCTCCCTCCCTGGAGGGCCAAGCCATCCCCTTCAACCACCAGGACTACCGGAAGACCATCCTGAAGCTCCTCAGCTCCTGCCTCCCCATGCCCCCACTGACAAGTTCTCCCCATCAGGCAGGGCCCAGCAGATGGCCTCAGGACTTCTGGCTGTGTCTTGGTGGCAGCTGAGATTTTCACCATCCTCTCACCCTCAGGTGGTGTTGCAAGCCCCTCCCAGGAGCCCAGTGATCTGAGTCCAGCCACAGGGGACAGACTTGGCTTTTTCAATGCCTTTCCTTGGGCTCCAGGGAGAGAGGAAGTTGGGGGCAGGAACCAAAGGGTACCCATGGAATGAGAGGATAGAAGGAAGAGGAGGAGGAAGCTGAGTATGGAGAATTTTGTGCAGAACGAACTTGTCTCTGCTGTTTCTGTCCCCTGGAGGAATGGGGAGCAATGACTTATTTTACTTACTTATGCAAAATAGCAGAGTTGTTACACATATAAGCTTCCCAAGCAGGTTCTGGGGTGGGAAGAGAGGCGAGTCCTACCACTTAAGGAATCTTCCTCTTGCTTCCTTACCCTGCCTCTTGCCTTTCCAGCCTCGCCTCCCCTGCCCCTCCTAGCACTGCTTTCATTCCAGGGATGCCACCCACCCAGCCTCCCCACCTCCAGGCCTTTGCTCAGGCTGGGCCCTCTGCCAGGAAAGCCCACCCCACCCCAATCCAAATCCCACCCATCTTAACAAACAGACCCTCATCTGAGCTTGTCTCATTCCCCCGCAGAAGCCCCTCATCTCCCCGCTTTGTGCTCACGTCACCTGGCAGAGCTCTTGAGAATGATCATAGGTCTCGGTGCACATAATTACCTGCCTCTGTGGCTGTCCCGCCTCCCCACCCACCCCAGGACCAAGAGCCTTCCTGGTGGAACTTCTGATCCATTTGGCCAAGCCTTTTTGCCGACCCATAGTGTCTGTGGCCCCGAACCCAGGGATGGAGATGCAAGATGCCCCAGGCCCTGTCCTCGCTAAAGGACCCTCTGTGTAGGGGACCTATGACCCCTGCACTGGGCCGGGCACCCAAGAAGGTGCCCATGTATTTGCCAGTAAAAAGTAGGTTCAAGTTGAGAAGGAAGGAATTAAAGAACCAATCAGAGCCACTTCTATGCCTGGTCTGAATTCTGCCTCTGAATAATAATTAGCCTTTTCCCAATTACAGAAAAAAAATTAAGTTTCTAAAAAAAAAGTCTCAATTAGGTACTTTTCTTCCATAAATATTTCTTTTTTTGGAGGGGAGGTTGATTTTGTTTTTTTTTTATATCAATATTTTTTATTTTGATATTGTGGGGTACAGTTAAGGGTTAGGTATATAAATATGCTTCGTTCAGGCACCCTTGTTGATAAGGGGTGTTTCCCCGACCCCAGACAGATATTACTACCGTTAATCCCACCTTCTTCCCGTCTCCCCCCCCATAGTTTCCCACCACTGTCAGTCCTTTTCTTATAGTACATAAATATTTCTTAAAGCCCTGCTATCTGCTTGCACATTTCTGTTCCAGACCTAGGGTACGCTGACCACAGATTCAGCACAAGGATACTCATCACTGTCATCAAATCACTCCTCTTCACAGAGTGATGCCTTCACTCCCCTGCTGCAGAAAGCAGCAGTCTCTCTGTTTCCAGCATGTCTGAAAATCCAGGGCCTAGACATCCCCCCCCACCAACCTCTTTCAAATGTCCAGGTTTCCCTTTGGTGCCCAAGGTAAACTGGTCTTGCTCGAGGCCTGAGACAGAAAGACCCAGGAGTTGCCTGGCCCACCTTGAATGTTCATGCCAATTCCGTGACCCAGGGCCTTCGATTCCACCATTTGCCATTCATTCCTGTGACTTATATGTCACTTTCTCTAGGATTCTCTCTTAGACTACAAATCTTCCCTGGAGTCGGGAGCCCATTTGACCCTCAGATTGGAGGTCAAGGAAGCTTAGTTGTATGCTTGGCTCTAGACAGGAAGTAAATCACAGGGCTTTTGAACAGGCCAGCCTGCCCGGGTTTGAAACCTAGCTCTACCATATTCTTATCTGAGCAAGTTTCTTGGTGCCTCTATTCCTCAGTTTCCTCATTTATAAAGTGGGAATAATAATGACACCAGCCTCATGGGGTTTTTGCAAGGATTGAGCTGATATATGCCAGGCCCTCAGACCAGTACCTGGTCCACTGTACGAGGCAAGAGACAACTCTACTCAAAGTTTCTGTTTCTTATCGTCCATAATATGGGACATTGATCCCCGTTCCTCCTGCCTTTTTCATAAACTGTGGAGTGATGTCCCCATAGGAGAGGTGGACGTTGTTTTAGAATCCAGTCGGCTGCTCTCTGTAGTCTGTCTCTAACTCCTTTCCCCTCCCTCCTTCCTTTCTTTTTTCTTTACCTGGAAGAAGGTACCAGTGGCTGTGAGCTGGACTCCTGGGGATGTCCTGTCCACGGAGGCGGTAATATCACTTCGCTGGGAGAGCTGAGGGGACAAGGGGGCCCCAGTGAGAAAATATGTGAGTCCTCCTCCTTCCTCCCGCCCCCTCCTTGGTGAGCCCCTGCCCCTGCTCTCCCTGTGCTGAGTGTGGGGCCCAGTGATGGTTCACACCTGGTCCCTGCCCTGGGGAAGCCATGAAACTGGTGGGTGAGCCAAGAGGACACATGTGATCCAGTCTTGGGCCATGGGATGCAGCACACGCGACCTACCTCCACCATGCTGCCCACACACCAGCCCCAGGCTCAAGGCCGGACAACCTGTGCCCTGAACCCACAGAAACAGGATCCAAAGCCTAGCGCCTCCAGGGCAGAGGCCCTTTCATGCTGCCCAGGGACCTGCTTCTCCGAGGCGGCTGCCAAACCAGCTGAGGGAGGCTGGTGGGCCGGAGGCAGGATCTGGGGCACCGCAATTATGTGCTTGAGTTCTGACTCATGAACTGCCCTCCCTCATCGCCAGCTTCTGCAGCCAGCAAGGCAGCCCCTGCCCAGGAGCTGAGGGACGCGATGGCACCAACAGGCCATGAGAGGAGTGGGCTTCGGGTCAGCATTGTCAGCTTTGGAAGATGCTGCCACCCTGCCTGCTACAGGACCCTGAGGCTGGCAGAGCCCCCTACCTACATCACAGAGCCAGGCTGGGCCCCAAGCCTCCTGGTGCCCTGCAGACCCAGGACATGGTGATTCAGGCCTGGTGCGAGATTCTGGCCCGTTTCAGCATGAGACCCTCCCCAACCCCGCTGGAACCTAGAGCCACACACCCACAAGAAACACACAGCTGAGACTCAGCCTCGGATCAGAGGTGGACAGAGCTGGGCTCAGAGACAGTTTGGAAACAGCATCAGCTACTGAGAGATGGGCGCTTGGGATACCCCAACGCCACCTCCAGTTCTCAGGTTTTTCACAGTGCCTTGAACGAACCTTACAGTTTACAAAACATACTTACTTCCTTTACCTCCCACAAAGATCCCAAGGATTAAGTGGCAGAGGAAATACAAACAGACCAGGGCTTCTCAAAGTTCAGTACACACACAGCGCCTGGGGAGCTTGTTAAGATGCCGTCTGACTCAGTGGGTCCTGGCTGGGGCCTGAGATTCCACACTCCCGATGATGTCGGTGCTTCGGGTCCCTAGACCACAATGTGAGAAGCAAGGACACTGGCTCAGAGCATGAGAGTGGGGTCAAACTCCCCAGAGTAGAATCCTGGCTCTTCCTGTGCAATCTTGAGCAAGTTATGTAACCTCTCTAAGCCTCAATCCCTTTATGTATAAGACAATGATAGTGATAAAACCTACCCTATAGAGTCAATGTGGAGATTTAGTTAGTTACCATATGCAAAATAATCACTTAAAGCGACGATTATTTCCAATTGTAAAATGGAGGCTCTGAGAGGTGAGCACGCAGAGCCAGAATTCAAGCGCAAATCTCTTCATATGATGCTGCAATACCAAGCTACACAAATGTCACAGCCACCAAGCCCTCCCTCCATCAGATAAACATGGATATGTGAGCCCAGAGAGGGGCAGAGAACTGCCACAGCCACCAGCAAGCTGATGTCAAAAAATACAAGTCCATGACTACTGCCCAGGGCTCCTCCCAGCATGCCAGAACCTCTCCCCTGGCAGGGAGAGAAAGAGCCAGAGGGTCTCCCTAGGGGTCTCAGCTCTGGGCCAGCAGCTACCCTAGAGAGCAGATGTGGGGTAGCTGGATGTGGAGGCCACCCATGCCCACCCTGACCTCTCTGGGGCCTCTGCCCACCAGGCTGAGGCAGAATAGTCTGACATCTTCCTTCCGTTTCCCATCTCCTACCTCCGGCCTGTGCCCACTGCCCAGTCTCAGGGCCACCCAGCTGGGGTAGCAGGTGACACGCAGAGGTCTGGTTCCACCCCCACCTTGCCTTCCCAGCATGGGGCCAGTGGGGGCCTGTGAGTCACTTGAAGGAAGTGCTCAGCCCCAAACAGGAAGTGGCTCTTTAATCAGAAACCATCTGCTGGATGGCCAGGGCCCTGGGGCAGGTAACTGGGTGGTAGAGGCTGGTAAAGGAAGGGAAACTGGGACAGAGCAACATTTATTCAGATTTTACCTGACACTCCAACTTGCCACCCACACTTTGACTTTATTATTACTGTTATTATTGTTTTATTGAGATGGGGTTTTGCTATGTTGCCCAGGCTGATCTCGAGCTCCTGGGCTCAAGCAATTCTCCCATCTCTGCCTCCCAAAGCGCTGATATTACAGGCGTGAGCCACTGTGTCCAGCCCCTCTGATTTTTGAAACTGGCCTGAGGACTTTTCTGTTGCGGACTGGCTATGTGACCTTAGGTACATCAGTGCCCTCTCCCAGCCTCAACGCCCTCATCTGTAGGGTCATGGGCAGCACTTAAGACTGCTTCGCCCTGGTAGTCTATAAAGAAATGAAGAATTGGACCGAGTGAACACTGGGTTTTAGATTTTTTTTTTTTTTGAGTCGGAGTCTCACTCTTTTTTTTTATTTTTAGAAATGGGGTCTTGCTATATTACCCAGACTAGAGAGAAAAGGCTATTCACAGGCAAGATCATGGTGCACTACAGCCTCAAACTCCTGGGCTCCAGTGATCCTCCCACCTCAACCTCCTGAGTAGCTGGGACTACAGGTCCACACCACCATGGCCGGCCTCTCCGTTTCTTGAACTTGAAGGACAAAGAGTGACTCTGTTCAGATGCTGTAAGGGTCTGTGGGTTGTGCTGCTGCTGAGGAGGAGATGGAAACTGCTTGGGAGAGGGCTGTGGTAGGACGAGGCCACACCCCTCCCCTCAAAAATGCACGAGGGGAGATAGGGGAACTGGTCAAATCCTTTCTCTCCCATGGCAACGTGTAACAGCCTTGTGCATGGCCAAGTATCTTGATTCCAGTGGTGTGGAGACCCTTTTTTGGTCATCTCTTCCTGTTCTGATTTGTGGTTCTAAAAGCACTCGTGAATTAGTGTAGTGTTCACAAAAAATGCACCTGGTGGCTGAGGAGCGTCTGACAGTATTCAACAACTCATATCGCTCAAGCTAATGTAACAAGAAGTGTGATATTAATAACCTGAAGTGGAAACTAGATGGACACTGAACACTAGAACTGTGAATAGTTTCATTTTTATAAAAGTTTCAAAAAATTGAATTACTATCTCATCTCTATTTGAATATTTTATTCATTTATTGTGAGGTGTATTGTTTTAATTTAATTTTTTTTTTTTTTGAGTTGGAGTCTCATTCTGTCGCCCAGGCTGGAGTGCAGTAGCACTCTTACGGCCACCGCAGCCTCGACCTGCTGGGCTCAGGCGATCCTTCTGCCTCAGTCTTCCAAGTGCTGGAATTACAGGCATGTGCCACCATGCCTGGCTGATTTTTTGATTTATCGTAGAGACGAGGTCTCGCCATGTTTCCCAGGCTGATCTGCTGCACTAGGCTGATAGCCCCCTGGCCATCAGGCTGGGGAATGGTCCTGATGATCTGTGGCCTCACAACATTTTTCTCCTCCTCTTCACCCCGATCAGTCCCCCTACCCCTCTACTTGCCCCCTTACTCTGGACCTACTGGGCACAATACCCCTTTGGGCTAAATCCACCAAAATGCACCCTCAGCCCCCTGATATCTGAGCTGACAAATCTCCACATCTCCTGCCCACTGTCTTTCACAAGAAGCTTCAAGAGAGCAGGATGGGGAAGGGGTAGAGGAGACGACAGCTGGAGACTGACTGCCAGGAGACCTGGGCTCTGGTCCTGGCTTGACCACTGGAAGACAAGTCAGCATCCTCATTGAACAGGACGTGACAAGACTTTGTGTTACAGTGCAGAGTTTATGTCATAGAGCCGAACGCCATCATCTCTCTTGTGTTTCCTGTTGGCCTGGCGCAGTGCTGAGAGCCCACCCATGTAACACTGTCCACCATTTATGAGGGTTGGCCACACCCTCCACACAAGGCCAAGGTTACTATGTACGTCATCTCACTCCTCTTAGCCTCTTGCTGCAGGAGATATTCCATGGATGGTAAACAGAGGCTCAAGGGGGCTTAGGGTCTCTTGGATTCATACTCTGACTCCCAAGCCAGTCTATATACCATAAGTCCAGGCACTGACACACATTTCCCAAGCTCCTCTATGTGTGCAGTGGACTGGTAGGGCTCCCACTGGAGGGACCCATGGGTTAATGGTTTAGACAGACACACCAAAGGAGAGTTACGGGAGAGCTTTATTGGTGGATCAAAGTTGTCTCCCAATTTCACTCCCAGCTTAGCACAGGGCTAGACCCACCAAAGTTAGCAATAAACACCTAGGAGTGAACAAACTTGTTTCCCCAACTCAGCCACACCCTGCCATGCTCCTAGGCAGTGAGGGGCTCTAGACTTTTGAGATCACCACACTATGTCTACCCTCACCTTGGGGACTGCAGAGTGCACAGGCCTTGGGATAGGGCACAGCCTTGCAATGGATTGGACATTAAACAAGGTGAATGCAGGACTGTACCCATCTGAGCACAGAACTCCTTATACAGTAGGTGCTCAATACATGTGTGCCATATGAGCTAATGAGTTAACAACATTCATGGACCATTCCAGCACTTGGCTCAGTACATCCTGATCACTGGGGGCTTAGTTCAAGTTCTGAATAAGAAAGGGGCTGGGGGACCAGAGCAGAGCCAATAAAGGGTAAGGGGTTAAGAGCAGGTCCAGGCCCATTCACTGCCACCCTTTTACTGTGTGATCACAGGCAAATCACTTCACCTTTCTGAGCATCAGCGGCATCAAGTAGGTATTAACACCCTGCTGAAATCACCTGCTTTTAGGTGAGCACATGCAAAACTCTGGTTAAAAACATGGGGTACTGAGGCTCAGAAAAGGGAAGTGACTTGGCTAAAGTCACACAGCAGGTGATGAAGTCTGGACTAGAATCCAGGACAGTCATGCTCCGTGGGAGTTGAGGGGGATAGACTCCCAGAGGCCTGAATGAGAAGGCCAGATCATGGGTGACA